TGACATGTTAACAATTATATATCAGTAAGTTTGAGTTACTTCTATTAGAGAAATAAAGCTTTTCTCTATTACTTAACTGTTTTATTACAACCACAATATATATATATATATATATATATATATATATATATATATATATATATATATATATATATATATATATATATATATATATATATATATATATATATATATATATATGTATATATATATATATATATATATATATATATATATATATATATATATATATATATATATATATATATATATATATATATATTAAATTTTACCGTAGAAAGTTACATATAAAGTAAGTAAAAGTTACAAATAAAGTTATACATAAAGTAACATAAATAATAAAAACAAATGGCTGGAGTAAGAAAAAGACATCAGTTTGTTTTATCACCAAATCAAAACTGGCTTCAAACCACGGACCTCGGGTTCTAAAGCCAGAACTTTATTCAATAAACCGCATTTTATTACATTTGTTTTAGTTGAAAAAAACTTATGACTTTGGTATTAAGTTTTTTGAACATTATATCAAGACCTTACGAACTTTCTTAGCAGCAAAGTTGAAAAGTGGTGATCTCTCTCTCCCTTCAGCCACAGATACTGACAAGGTAAAAAAGAAAAAAACATTAACTGTTTTTTGAGTCCAAAGTGATGTCAGGCGTAGACCAAATGAAGGAAAATAATCTGCATTGAAGATTCAGAGCTTGAAATTGCTCTTTAATCTGCTAGATGAATGTATTTAATCAATTGTTGTAAACGTCAACTTTAAATGCTTTTGATGCATCAGTTTAATGAGGAGCGGTGGTTCGTTGTGAACGTTTTCGTTCTCCTTTTTTTATTTTCAGTAAAACCAGTTTCAAAACCAAGATTAACAGCTACTTATTTTGATTTGTCCAAGAAAGCATCCTAGAAGAAACATTTGCCTTAAATCTTTAATCAACCTCTAAAAAAAGTCATCTTGTTCTCCTATTTGATGCTGCAGGATTGAAAAAGGAAGCTAACACAGTTCAAGGCTGTCAAAATTTTGAACCAGAAGATATTAAAAACAACAAACTCGAAGGATTTGAACTATTTGAGAAGAGAAAGAACTTTATTTAAAACGTCAATAGTGAGATCCACTTTCTTTAGTTTTTTCAATGCATTGGTGATCTCTCTCGGTCTCTTTAGTAATGGCTTGATATATTTTATTCTAGCGCTTCATTTTGTCTTAGAAGTTTGGTGTAAATAAAAGTAAGCAAGAACTTTCCAACGTACTCAGCTTTTGCTTAAAACATTAAGTCCATTTTCTTTAAAGCACTAAGGATCAAATTGGCAATGTTGACTCTATCTTCTTCTCCATCTTTTATATTTTCAAAAACCTGTATTATTTCCCTACCCCTTAATTTAAGGGGCATCAAGTTGATAAAATATATTTTGTACTATTCTTAACTAGACTTATATTCATCGATAAATTTTAAGTTTCATTGAATTATCTCTCAGCGTTCAAAAATAATGACCATATAAAATTTGTACCCCCTCAAATTGAGAGGGGTTTAAACTTTATATGGTATATAAAGTTTAATTTTTGAATAGTTTTTGAACGCTCAGAAATAATACTATGAAACATAAAATTTATTGATGAATATAAGTCTAGTTGAGAATAGTACAAAAAAAGTTTTATCAACTTATTGCGTTTCACGCTTTGGATTGGGTTGGGTAATGAAGTTAAAGCGGTTTTTCGTTCCCAGCCTCCAATTATCGCAGTTTTTGCAAAGCATCATTATTTGACATAAGTATAAACGAACAAATGTTTATAGTTTGTTCCATGTCTGAAAGTTAGCTATTATCTCAAACACCAAAAAATCCAGGATCAGTCACTGATATTTATAAATAAAAATGAAAAAATAAATCATCTTTTAAAAATAGAATTTTTTTGAATTTAAAGAGAATACTATATCTGCAGAAATTTCATCGTTATTGATGTTATCGTTGTGAAGAGGTTTTAAAATGGTCCTTACAAAAACCATTCAAACTCTACAGCTCTACAGCTTGTGGTCCGAACAATATACCTAATATTGTCTTGCAGAAGTGTTCTCCAGTGCTGTCGTTTATACTTTTAAAACTATTTAACAAGTGCTTACCAGCGTCTTGTTATCCAGCTTGCTGGAAAGCGACATCTGTTATCTCTATTTTTAAAAATTCTGGCGAGCAATCTGATTTGTCTAACTACCGTCCCATAAGTCTTCTTCCAATCAAAAATTAAAAACTATCAAACCTTAAAACTTCTTTTCTTAGGCTTTACGAGTTCTGTGCACCATAGCCAAGGTAGTCTTTCCGTTAAAATCAATTGTTTAATTAATTAAACGATTGATTATTACGGAAAGACTATCTTGGCTATAACGCACAGAACTCGTAAAGCCTAAAAAAGGAAGTTTTAAATTTTGTACTATGAACGTAATATAACTATAAAAATAATATATCACCTATTATTTAACATTAAAAAAAGTCAAACAAGAATACTATCTGACTAGTACACAAAATATCGAAAGTTCTACCTGACTAGGATGTTATTATTTTATATTATTATAACAAAATATTTATAAAGGAAATATATCATGAATAAATATACACTTCATTATGTAAGGAATTCTTTTTTAAAAAACAAAAAAATTATAAAGACAAGTAGTATTTTCAGAAACTAATTATAACTAATTACATAAATATTTTTTTCAAAGGTTTTTAAATATTTTAATATATTAGCCATTTAAGTAAATTAAATGCACATTCAATGTTGAGAAATTTGTTTTCAAATCCAAGGATTTTATTTTTAAAATCATGCTTTCAGCAAACATTTTTATTTTTGCCTTAAAAGGTTTTTTTTCTAAAATATTTCTCAGTTTTTCTCAGAAATTGGTCATTGAATACTCAATTGCTAATGTCGACGGCAAGCGTCGTCCACTCGAGTAGACTGTAGTTGAACGAGAATTTGGTGTGATGGTCTTCAATTAATATAAGGTCAGATCACAAGTAGAGACAGCCGCATCAAAGGGCGACTTCGCAAAAACTGCAACTCGAAACGAAAGTCCCAGTTTTTATTCATGGCGCACACTGTTTTTCATTTACATTCGCTCCCACCTTGAATTTCCTATTTCGCCGCATTTAAAGTCCAACATTGCCATCCTTGAGCAAGTTCAATAACGAGCACAAAAACAATAGAATCTATTAAAAACCTCTCCTGTAGAAATTGATTCCAAATATCTTGATCTAATAACACTTGAAGAACGGCGTAAAAGAGCAGTCCTTACCGAGCAATTTAAAACCAAGCATCAACTCAAACTTGTCAGTTTTTTCTTCCCGCAAAAACTTTCAAACACTTGAGCCAAGTATGTCTTGATAGGTCATAACTATAAAAAAATTGCCGGATGTATAATAGGGTGGAATAAAAAATACTTTTGTTTTAAATATTTTTGAAAAATATACTCAATGTAAAAAAATTTATTATAAAAGATATTTTTAGGGGTCCCAACTTTCTCTTGTATGTGATGGGTCCCTTATATTATTCGAAAAAAATTTCTTTAAAAGTATTTAGTACTCAAAATAAGTAGTAATCATTTTATATAAATATTATTGCTTTAGATTTTAATGCATAAAAACTTTTGTTTTTTAAATTTTTTTAAAAAGTTGACTTTTGTTGTTGTCTCAACGCACTAAATGCAAGTTTTTATGTTTTTTGACTCGCTTGTTCTTTGTGGCAACAAACACACACATTTTACGGTCCGCAACATATTTACTAGGGTTAGTTAGTGATTTAACATAATTAAGATATGTTAAAAAAAACCTTATGATTTTTATTTACAAGACGTTTGATTTTATGTTTTTCAGTTAAAACTTTAAAAACTTTAAATACATTTAGCAAAACCGCCAGATAAAGAATCGACAATAGACTGTTCTGTCATAATAAAACATAAAGTTGATTGTAATATAAATCTTTTGTGAAAATAAATTTTTACTTGTTCTTTTGTTTTCATAAAAATGTCTTTTACTTGTTTACCGAATTTGCTTAAGAAATATTAAATTTTGCCGCTATTTTACATATATTTACAATAATCTCATTTATTTTAAAGACCAGATTTTTAGCTAAATAGTTTAATGACATGATAAAATTGAGGTGATGCATATCAAAATCTTATTTAAAATTTGAATTTAGACTTTTAAATGAAGCATAAGAGATAAAACATTAAATGTCTAACGAGCCGTATGTCAAATTTTGTGTTCATTACATTTAAATTAATAAAAACTTTCATATTTAATCAAAAAAACAGATTTTAAACTTGAAATAACTATTTTTTTTCTAACTTTGATATGTTTTTAGACATACACAACTGGTTAGAAATTGAATATATGATGCAAAACTTATTTGAAAATGTTGTTTTCTTTAGTTAAATCTTTATCTTTGTATAGCATTAACATTATTTTATACCAAAAAATGATACCTCAACTATAAAGCAAAATTTTATACTTGAACTCGAATAATTTATAAAAGTTATAGCGTTATTTAATTTTAGATATAAGAAAGGACTAAAATTAAAAAATATATATATATATTTTTTTTAGTTGTGCTAAAAAAATTCATTTAAACAGAGCCTGTTTATTAAAATGCAAAATTCGTTTATTTTCCAGAACGTGCATTAACTGCGTTAAGTTTGAAACATCCGTTTTGAAGTGGAGTTTATAAAATTTATTTACGGTTTTTGTAAACAATTTTTTTTTTTTAAATGATTTATAAAATAAAATTTCTCTTTTTTCTACTTCCAGGTTGACTAGAAAGAAATTTTTTTAGAATGATAATAGTGACCCGTTACATATTTAAGGCTTCGCAACTTTTTATTATTTGATTACTGGTCATAATGTTTTTTCGTCTTTTCTGATATAATGTTTTTCGTCATCCGTGAAGAAGAGCTTTCATTAGATCGTGATTTAAGCTTCGCCTGAAAAATATTTACAAATATGCCCTATTATTTACTATCCTAAAAAAATTGTAGAAACGTAAAATGGCGGCTTCGGCTGCTGTCAAAGCGCAGCACAGTAGTGAAGTTAAGACACAATTTTGTACGAAAGAAGGATGCTATAAGTCTCTAAAGTTTTCTGATTACTCGAGACCTGCTCGTCTCGCAAATAATGCAAGCAATAATATACCAGTAAAATTATCTTTTGTTACTTTAAAAGGTGTCCCTGAAGGCGATTGTGAAGATAAAATAGCATTCAATGTTGGTAGAGACATGTATTTTTACAATTTTCGTGGAACAAAAAAGGTTTCTGAATCATAATTATTGGTACATTTCTTTTAGTTTCTCAATTAGGTGTTATGTTTCTCCGTAATTGTATGAAAATTGATTGTTTTTATTTGTAGTTTCATGTATTATTACCCCTCGTCAGCATTATTTACACTATAGCATGCTGTTATTGTTAGAAAGATTTTAAAAAGAAAAATTATAAAGTATATATTTATTTAAAGTTCTTGAAGTTTTATGAACCTATAGACAGGGTTTTTAATTTTAAAAATATGTAAACATGACAGTATAAGACAATCCGTAATACTAATTTAACTTTTTTTTAAAATGGTTGTTTTGTTACTAGTTTACATATATTAAATTAAAAGTTAGTGTTAATTTAAAAACATAAAGTTATGTTAAAGACTTAAAATTAAAATTTTTGCAAAATTAACATCAGGAAATTTTCAAAAAAACATTTTCTTACAATATTTTAAAACCATGAACTTATTAGCTATGTAAATATATAAACATGTAACATGGCTGTGTATAAATTTATAAGATCTGTAAGAGTTAGGAAACTAGGAAAAATGAATTTTTTTTAAAAATAAACTTTGATATAAATACAACTATCAAAGTAGAATGAATTTCTGTTTCTGGCAATTTTATTTAATGGCAAACTTAAAACAAGTTTACAGTAAAAAAAATCTTTTCAATAAATTTAGGTATAAATGTGACTTATATTATTGAAAAGAATTCTTCAATCAAATTTTTTATGTTGTTGCCTTAATCTTAAGGTTAAATTTCTTAAGATCAAAATATTAAGGCATAGGATCAATACAAACTTTTTGAGTTTAATGGCTAAAGATTAAAAGCTTAATGGCATAAATGGCATTAAATAAGTGATACAAATCCGTAGCACTGGTAATTTTTTTCCTTATTAATTTAATTCTTTATTATTATTTCTACACAGCTTTCTCTAACAGACATTTTTTTAAATTACTTACATTATGATCACTAGTACCTTTTAGTACTGGTGATCATAATGTAATCATATTCACTCCTAATTTGAGCTGCTATATAATAAAGATGAAGTTCCAGTTCAACAGTTCTACTGTTAAAAAAATGCAGATTACTAAGCTATCAATAAGTATCTGATTGGAGTATTATCTTTCAAACATGTTTTAATATTGAAGCTTGTTGGCATAATTTTTCTGCTATACTAAATAACATTATTATACAACATGTACCTAAAGTGAGAGTCAGTGAAGAGCATAAATTAAATTACGCTATCCTTATTATGTTAAAAGGTTGATAAACAACAAAGTAATCGCATGGAAAAGATAAAAAATAACATGTAAACCTAATGACAACCTGCTTATAAGTCAATTGTCGCACAATGTTTTGATTACATTAGGAAGTATCATGCAGCAAAAGAACTTAAGATGATACACAAAGACAACCTTGGTAGTTTCTTTAATTTTGTTAATGGAAAACTTAAAGCCTATAGTAAACTCAATGACATTCGTTGATCTGATAATACCCTTTGTCATAATAAATAAGAAATATCTTGTATTTTTAATAACTTTTTTGCAAGTGTTTTTACAGTCGATAATAGTTTATCACCAAAGTTTATGGATAGTGTTAACGCATATTCAACTTGTCTGTCATCTATTAACTTCTCTTCTTCTACAGTCGAAAAAGCACTGAAAGCACTTGAACCCACCACATCTACTGGTCTAGATGGCATTCTCAATGTTTTCCTAAAGAATTGTGCCCATAGTTTATTGATTCCCTTAAGCCATTTATTTGATATTAGCGTTACCGTTAGACTGGAAAGTAGCAAGCATTTTTCCAATTCACAAAAAGGGACCAACAGTTGACCCAGGTAATTATAGACCAACCTTTGTGACATCTACTTGTTATCGTGTAATAGAAAGAATCATTAATAATAAACTGATAAATTATTTTTTACTCAATAACCTAATTACAAATGAGCAGCATGGTTTTATTCGTAATCGTAGTACCTGTACTAATATTCTAGAAAGTATTCATGACTGGACTTTAAACCTTCAGTGTCGCATTCCTACAGATATTATTTATTTTAATTTTAAGAAAGCTTTCGATTCAGTTTCACATCCTCAGTTACTAATGAAATTATCCGCTTATGGAATAGTTGGCAATAATTATTAAAACTAATTTTCTGCACATGAGATCACAGGTGGTAAATTTAAACAATGTTACTTCCCACGTTATATCTGTAACAAGTGGTGTTCCACAAAGGAGCATTCTTGGACTTATCTATTCTTATTGTTTATCAATGATATGAGCCACATTAATAAAGAGCTTGATGTCAAACTTAAACTTTTTGCTAATGATATTAAATTATACTCAGTCTATGATGTACGTGGCCCTCAGTCAGACCTTCACACAGCTGTTTATCATTTGTACAAATGGAGTTGTACTTGGCAACTCCAAATAGCAACTGAAAAATCCTTTATCTGTACAATTGCTAACTAGAGTCAAAACATAACCCATTGTGTTTATACCACAAATAACCATGAACTTGCCCATGTTAACTATTTAAGAGATCTTGTAGTTACCTTTGATAGGAATCTTAACTTTAATCAACATATCAATCTTATCATACATAAAGTTATGTCAACAGCCATCTTATTATTCACGAGATAGATTGCTGATAGTTAAAGCCTACTGTACGCCTATGCTGGAATATTGTTCTTCAGTATGGTCATCTTACACTATATCCCTGATTAATAAAATTGAGAAAGTGCAGTATCTCTTTACTAAAAAAATTGCAGGTCTGTGGTCAGTTTCCTATGATAAGCGTCTAGCCATACTAAAGCTTAACACGTTAAAATATCGACGAGTGTTTAAAGATTTAGTTTTATGCTACAAATTTCTTAACGGTAAACTAGACACTGACCTATCAAACATTCTTATTCTCAATTCTTACTTGAATAATTGTGGTCATAACTTAAAACTGTACAAACACCATTGTAGTTTAAACAGTACTAAGTGTTTATTTTCTAATGGAATTGTTAATGTATGAAATAGTTTATTGGAGAATTTGGTGTTTGCATCGTCTGTCTCAATATTTTAGAACTGCCTTGCTGTATTGCTTTGTTCAAGTTGACACAATTTTGTTCTAACTTGTCCATCACTTGATACAATTTAACATTTCAGTAAAAAATTTGTTAATGTAAACTTAAAAATTTGTTAATGTAAGGGTAATTCCATGTAAAATTGGGACAAAAAATCTAAATTTTTCAGTCACCCTCAGATTTCTTTCAAATTTTACCCAGTGGTACTTATCAATGTAACATGAAAAATTGTAAAACTTGAGCTCCCAAAATCAAATGGTTCAAAAGTTATGACGTTTTGAAATTCAGCCTAAATCGTTCTTTTTTTGCCAAGTCCGCCATTCTGGATTTTGTAGTTGTACTTTTTAATGTATAAATTAAGATTTAGTTGAAGAATGAGGCTAAATGAGGCTTGAGGGTGTTGAATTCAAAAATGTAAAGCAAATAGTGAAATTTAAATTTTATGATGGTTTTTTTTTGATTTTAAAATGGTCAGTCAAATTTTTTGTTCTGTTACCATGAGTTGCGCTTTCATCAACTCCCGGAGTTGCCTAAGTCTCATGGATTCAATTTTTTTTTCAAATGAAGTAGGTGATCTTAGGCTATTGTTATAAAAAAGATGGTTTTGTTTTTTTAAAGCATTGTAAAGATATATTTTGAAATTTATACAAAAAAATCCTTATTTTGACTCAAATTCTCTTTCATAGATTTTTTAGCTATAGTTTAGGTGTAAATAATTTAAGTTTTAGTTGAAGAAACTGACTGAAAATTGGTACCTGACCATTTTTGAAGATGCTGAATCCAAAGTAGAAAAAAAAAAAGCCTAATTTAAAATGTTAGATAACTGTTTTTTTTTTTAAAAAAAAACACAATAAAAAAGCACATTACAATAAAAAGAGGTAAGGTTTTCACGAGTTTCCTGATCACAAGACTCTCATGGGTTCAGTTATGATGTGTAAAAAGAGTTTATTGAGGTAGGTTTTTATATAAAAAATGTTTTGTGAAGTGATTTGCCATTTAAAAAAATAGTTTTGCAATGCCTGCTGTGATGTATAAATATAGATTTGTGATGTCAGATATGTTGTATAAATATAGTTTTGAAACACCAGTAAACATAAACTTAAAATTATTTTAATTTTAGATTAAATAATTAGAGAATTTAGTAATTCAGTTTCTTAGTCATGGCAAACAGTGCTCCATTGGAATCAAGCTAGAAAGTGAATGTCATCTTGCAACATATACATCGTTGCTTGGAATCGAACCTTTTGAAGATATTCCTGAATATGAAAGAGAAATATTAATGTATAGGACTGGGCTCTCAATAATCAATGTAAAACCAACAACTTTTCTACATCATAAACATGTTTATTTTAAACGTTATGCAACTAAATTAACACGGTACTGCAATATATTTAATACTCATAACAAAGTTATAAAAAGTATTTATAGTAATCACAACTTTTAATTTGTGAAAATGTTACAATAATGAAATTTTTTGCAGCCATTTTATTTTAGCTATATTTAGCCTTACTTTTAGCTGACTTTTAAAAGTGCACTATTAAATGCCATACAAATTGAAATTTAAAATAGTTTTATTACAATTTTTATACATATTAAAAGAGTTCTTACCTTTTTTTAGGCAGTCTTCATGAAATCAACTTGGATTCAGCAAAGTACTTATGCAGTAAAGACAAATTCGTAGTGCCAGGTGAAAAACTTTGTCCACAATGCAGACATAAATTAGCATCAAGTGAAGAATCAGGAGAGAACGAGTTGGAGATAAAATTAACTGAAGATAATATGGAAAAAGAAATTATACTGGAATCAACAAGATCATTGCTCAACAGTACTTTGTGTGAACTTGAAGTGTCTCCGCTAAAAGTTCATTTACCAAAAACCTCTAACAAGCCTTCACTTGGATAGAGAAAGAGAAAGCAAGTTAAAGAAGCAGTCATTAAGAAACTTGCAACTGCTCTGGATGTCACCGAATCCGATCTTGTTGCACCTAACAATTATGAAGTTCTAAAGGAAATTGAAAGCAAAGCTGGCGATCTAGACTTCCTTGTTGAATGCATGAAAGAAAAACTTAAGCATTATAATTTTTTTATTTTCTTTTAGAAACCTAAACTTTTTTAAGACCTCTTATTTCACAATAAGAGTAAGGCAACTCCAGAAATAAGGAAAGGTAAACCATGGTTAAGAAATTAAAAAACTTAACTGTTGATATTTTGAAATTGAAAAATTATTCTCAAATACTAGGAATAGGGTTCATTTATCTTTATCTTTGTATTCAATACCTTTAAAATTGGCCAGGTACCAATTTTCAGTCATATTTTCCCACTAGAACATTAATTATTCACACAAAAAGTATCGCTATAAAGTCTATAATGGAGAATAGAGGCTAAAAAATGATTTTTTTTGTCTAAATTTCAAAATGACATATCTTAATAATTCTTGAAGAAACCAAAACCATCTTTTTTATAACAATAGCCTAGTATCACCTACTTTGTTTGAAAAAAAAAATTGAATCCACGAGACTCGGGCAACTCCGGGAGTTGATGAAAGCACAACCCATGGTAGCAGAACAAAAAGTTGGACTGACCATTTTAAAATCAAAAAATAACCATCATAAAATTTAAATTTCACTATTTGCTTTATGTTTTTGAATTTAGCACCCTTAAAAATAGTTAGGTACTCATTTTTAGCCACATTCTTTCAATAGGTTTTAAATTATTCATTAAAAAGTACGACTACAAAATCCATAATGGCGAACTTGGCAAAAAAAGTAATGTTTTAGGGTGAATTTCAAAACATCATAACTTTTGAACCATTTGGATTTGGGAGCTCAAATTTTGCATTTTTTCATGTTTCATTATAATGTACCACTGGGTAAAATTTAAAGAAAATCCAAGAGGTGACTGAAATGACTGTCTCAGTTTTACATGGAATGACCCGTAAAGTATTAGTGGCCTTCGGGTTCTTCTGTTGTTTTCAAATAAATAAATAGTAGTAATTGTGTTGATGAATCTTTTTTCTTTCTTTTAAAACAAAGAATCAATTACCTTTTGAACTACCTAAAAAAAAAGAAAAAAATTCTTTTTTTTTTTTAGTAATATGAAGTCAATTTTTATATTTTTTACAAACCTGAAAATGACTCTGAAAAATATTTTATTTTAGTTTCTTTAATAATTTAGGTTTTAAGCAAAAAATGTAATTGTTTGAAATATATATAGTTTTTTATTTTAGTCCTTGTTTTAATTTGTTTTAATTTTGATAATGAACTTCTGATTATTCTTTGTTAATAGTTTAATCCTTATAACAGTTTAATGTACTTATTCTTAGTATTTAAAAAGTCTAGATAATGTCTTAAATTTGGTATTATTGTATAAAAAATGCATTTAAAGTAGTTTTAGGTAAAACTTTGTGGATATTTATAATTCATCATTCATCGGTATAATTTAATGGTAAAAATCTAAACAAAATTTTGCTTTAGCTTAATCTTAAAGTGATTTTCTTTAATCGAAGTTATTGTCTTTTTTAATTACTTTTTTAATGAGAAATTTTTTTTAATGGCTTAAGTTGATACCAATTAACAACAAAATTTAAATTAACATGTTTAAGTTGTTCTTCTAATATGACTGTATATGTTATTTTCTTTAACTTAAGCAGCTACTTGGTAATTTTGACATTTATTTGTTGATACATAAGTTAGGCTTGGATTTTTGATATTAGGACAAATAACAGCATAAACACTGAGTTTTCTGCCTTACATTTTTGTTAATTTTTTTTTTTTTGGAATTTCTTCTAGATTGTGCTAAGTTTGACTCTATATCTTCCTAATTTTATTACACATGGTTCTATTCTTTTTTATTCTTGGATAGAATACTATTGTAATTTTTAGTTTTGATTTTCTAGTAATACTCTTTTTTTGCAACCCATTGTTAATATAACTTCAATTCTAGCAGTCAAAAAATTATCTCAGTCTTATTGCTGTTGTTTTTGTTTTGTACATGTATTTTCAAACTTATACTTTATAGGGCATTTTTTCAACTATTGAAAACCTGATATAGAAAGTTTCACAAAACATATTTTTTATATTTTAATTCTTTAAATTCCTGAGTTATCATGATCAAATAATTATCCTAGTTACCAGACTTTCAAATCATCCTTTCTTTAGTCATCAGCCTTTAATCATATTTTTCTTGCTCTTTAACTGCGCACTTTATTTTCTTAGTTACATTAGTACCAGTTGCCTTGTTTGTTATTGTTGTGGTTTTATATAAATTTTATTTCTTTCTGGAAACTTGTAAAAATACTTATAATTATATGTAAAATTGCATATATTAAAATAGGCATTTTTGTTTAGGCTCCTGATTTAAATGAGCCTATTGATCGACGGGCATATAAAGGTCCTCAGCCAACATGCCATGATATTAATATGATCACTCGTACTCCCACAAGCATTGAGTTGATTATTGGATTTACCGCTGGACAAATTCAGTTAGTGGACCCATTAAAAAGAGAATGCAGGAAATGTTTTAATGATGAGGTATTAATTCATTTTTAAAAGTTGTACTAGACATACCTTTTATTTTGTTCTAAAGTAAGTTTTTTTTTGTGAACTAAGGAGTATATTCATTTTTATATTATTTAAAATGAATTATATAAATTTGAAACTATTTTGTATAAGGGGCTGTTATCATAGCAGCTGTTTGTTTAAAATTTACTTTTAAGTAAAAAAAAAATTGTACGAAGGAAAAATTGAAAAAACAATTGCTATAAAAATGAGCTAATTTTTAGAACATATAAAATTTCAATATTGAATAAAATTTAGTAATATTTTAAATTGAATTTGATAGTCAAGTTAAACCCATGCATTAACTTTAATTTTATTAAACTTAAATATATTTTTTAAATCAAAATTAAATTTTATATTTTTATTAAATTAGTCTGGAACTAAATCATATTTTTTTATCAGAATTAAATTATGTTATTATGATCTCTGCTTCAGGTTTAAAGTATTAGCATTTTTTAAGCTAAAAAATTAATATTACAATAAAATAAAAACAAAATAAAAATAGTTTTTTTCATTAGTAAATAGCGCTTATATCTAACATAATTGTCATTCAAAGTTTTGTAACAAATATTTTTACTTAAGTGTCATTCAAAAGTTAATGTGATTTTTTAAAAAATTAATTACTTCTTTTTTCTTACCGCTTATAGAATAATTTAAAAGTTAAAAATGATAAAAAGTCGCTTAACCAAAATTGCTCAAGGTGTATGTAAATCACTCTACGCGTAGCGCTTCAAAACAAGGCCATATATATGTGTGTGTGTGTGTGTGACTATATATATATATATATGTATATATATATATATATATATATATATATATATATATATATATATATATCGTCCACAAACATTTTGCAGCAAGAGTTAATGTTGCCTGGGAGGTTGTTAATGAACAACTCGCTAGAACAACTCGCTGTCGTTGATTTTTTAAAAATGAGCCAATCCATGCAATCAGTTGACCTGTTATTCCATTTTTGCTCAGTTTTTCAATAAGACTAGTATGCTGTAATAAATCAAATGCACGTGAAAAGTCAAGAAATATGATATCTAGTGGTTTTTTTTGCATAGTTTCTAAAAGGTTTGTTGTACATGATTTATTTGGGACAAAACCATGTTGTTTGCTACAGAAAAGATTGTTTTTTGTGAAGTAGTTGTTAAGTTCATTCCTTACTATTTTCTCCATAAGTCGAAGTCAAGCTGATTGGTCTATAGTTTCCCGGATCTGTTGGGCTTCCTTTTTTAAATATTAGCGTTATGTTTGCGTCTAGCCATGCTGTTGGTATTTTTCCTGAACGCAGTGATAAATCAAGTATGATCGATAGTGGCGTGGCGAATTTGGTGGCGAGTGCTTTTCGAATGAATGGGTGAACGTTATCTGCTCCTTGTGATTTGTTTCCATCAATTTGAAGTCCTCAGTGATGTTTATTTTGTCTATCCTTTTATTTGTTCTATGGTCGAGTGTGTTAATTTGTACATCGTATCTTTTACTAAAGACGGACTCGAATTGGTGATTTAACATATCGGCTATGTCCTTTTTACTGTTTTTTAGTTAACTGCTGTCAGATTTGAGGGCTTGTATTGAAGTAGATATTTTTAATTTGCTGTTTATATATAAAAAGAGTTTTTTGGGATTTTTTTTGTTGTTTGCTAAATTGAACTCATAGTTTTTTTTCGCTTTTTTGGATGCTTTTCTTATATCTCTACTTGGGTTGCGGTATTCCTTTACAAGTTCAGTTTTTTTCCATTTTGAGGCTACGTTTTGCTTCCACAGCATTGTGTTAAGTTGAGATAATTTTTTTAAGTTATTGGTCACCCATGGTACTCCTTTAGTTGTTAAATTTATTCTTTTTTTTTGAATGAATATATGTATATATATATATATATATATATATATATATATATATATATATATATATATATATATATATATATATATATATATATATATATATATATATATATATATATATATATATATTGTCAGCCGAGAACCAAGAGGTTGTACAGTCGTGTGCAGTAAAATAGTAGTGCGTATTTTATTTTTCTATCAACAAGCTTTGAACATCAAAATATATTTTTCTATTGTTTGTTTTTTATCGTTATTGTTCATAAACTAAATGTTGTGATTAAAATAGTATAAAAAAAAATTAAAGAACGATAATTGCAACACTGTATGGTTTTAAATTTCAATATTATCGATTAAAGGTCATTCGTATTTTTTTTTAGACTGTGTAATAAAATAGTAGTGAAAAATTAATTTTTGTCTAATAATTGCTATCCATATTAAATTCTAATTATTATTAGTTTTTAATAATAAGCTATAAGGAAGTAATTAATTTTGATATTAGATAAATTTATACATTTACTAAAATTTTGAAATTTCACAGAAACATGGGGCACTCTTAACATTGTACTGAAGAAGTTCGTAATTTAATTATAAATCTTAAAAATCATGGTAAAACCTACAAACAAATACAAGAACTGGTTGGATGCTCACCAACAATGATTGGTAATGTTTTAAAATGGAAACCCAAACCAGAAAAAACATGGAAATAAAAGATCAACTACCGCTATAGGACATCATTGAATTGTATCGTTAGCGAAAAAGGAGCCATTTATTACTTCTAGAAAAATTAAAGAAAGGCTAGAATTAAATTCTAATACCTCAAATATTCAAAGACGATTAATACATGTTGATTTAAATGCCAGAACACCTAGAAAAGTACCACTTTTGAGTAAAAGATATAACAAAAATTGTTTAAAATTTGCACGTATGCATGCTTCTTGGCCTAAAGAAAAATGGCGAAATATTTTGCGGACTGATGAAATCAAAGTTGAAATTTATGGTTTTCATGTTCGTAAACAGTATGTTAGAAGACCAACGGGTGCAGCATATAAGCCACAATTTACATTAAAGACCGTCAAACATGGAGGTTCAAAAATAATGATATGGGTTGTTTTTCTTACTATGGTGTTGGACCTATACATCGCATAGAAGGAATCGTGAATCGGTTTGTATATGTAAAAATACCTGAAGAGATCATGCTGTCTAATGCTGAAGAAGAAATGCCGTTAAAATTTTTGTTCCAGCAGGATAACGATCCCAAACATACAAGCAAGTTAGCCAAATCGTGGTTTAATGAGAACAAAATCGATGTAATGGAATGGCCAGCACAATCCCCCGACCTCAATCTGATAAAAAAACTTGTGGATTGATGTTAAACAAGCAGTTTCTGAAAATAATCCAAGAGGTTGTAATCAATTGTGGGACGTGTGGGACATTCAAAGTTTGGAATTTTTATTAAAGTGTTCCAAGTTTTAATGTTTTATTACATAGACTTTTATGCAATTCAAAGTAAAAATCCTAGTTAAGCAAAGTTTTTTGTCAAATGGACCCAAAAAAACTGTGCGAGTTAGTGTATGGTTCGACTTAACCAGGGGAAGGTTGAGAGATAAAGTTCAACGAGAATTTAAAAAAAAAAATCATGCTGGATTTAACTTTCAAATAGATGAAATAAATCAATGGCTCTCTTGCATTTTGGTTTTTAATTTTAATTTATGCGTGACATACTTTATAACAAATATAACTTCATTGGTATTACTCAAGTATTATTTAACAATATGCAAACAATGAATAACAGATTTTCAAATATTAAAAGTCTTAAACTTTTCTCCCTTCTTCATCTATTAAGCTAGTGTAGATATACCAGTGCTGGTGGTGTAAATGCACCAGTGCTAGTGGTGTAGATGCACCAGTGCTGGTGGTGTAGATGTACCAGTGCTGGTGGTGTAGATGTACCAGTGCTGGTGGTGTAGAAAAGAGCTAGGTGGTGTTAAAAATTACAATACTTAAAAATTTCAATATCAAATTTCACAAGCAAAACTTTGTTTGGAATCCAAAATGGGAAAATGATCTGCATACAATTTTTTTTTTGATAATCCATTTCTTTTGTATTTGTAAAGAGTACTTCATGATGAATTTACCCAAAACTTACTTTTTATGCTCCTTAACAGTTTTTTTTTTTTTTTTTATTTATTTTAATTCACCTCCTCAAGGCCGAGAAGGCCACTACAGACGAGGAGGCTACTTATTTGTGGCTATAACCCTCTCTCATTTCCGAAACACGAACCTTGATGAACAAGGCCGCTGTGCAGAGAAACGAGTTGAGCGCGGTACTACCAGGGACGTGGGGAGGATCGAACTCCGAACCACTCGTTTATGAAGCGAGCGCTCTACCACTACACTACTACTGCATAAGTTCCTTTTACCAAATTTACTTTGATTTTGCAAAAAATAATTTCGCAATTTGTAATACTTGTTAAAGTACATTCTCTTAAACTTTTAAGAAACCTGTGTTAGATTTCAGATTACTAAAAATTTCAGATAAAAACTAACATAATTATCATCATTGCAAAATATGTTCTTTCTCTGAATGGTTTTGCTTTCTGATAACTTTCTCTAAAAGCTCTTGCTTTTTAAAAACTTTTTCTGAAAGCACTTTATATATAAATTTTAAATTTATATCGTTTGTAAGAAGTCTAATAATGTTTTTAGTCTTTAATAATTGCTTACTTGAAATATATAGTCCGGCCAAGCTATAAAAATATATAGTCTGGCTGTGCTATAAAAATGACAACTTTCACATAATAAATTGATTGCTCAGTCCAGACTTACAAAAACTGGCCAAATATTCTGCTTGATGCTAATAGTCAAGCATAACAGTAGTATACATAAAGTACTTTTAAAAAAATAGGTTACATAACTTTTATATTGCTTATCTTTATATTATAACTTTCTCTCAATGCTCTTGCTTTCTACAAAACTTTCACTCGAAACTCTTGCTTTTTGAAAACTTTCTCTCAAATTTCTTGCTTTTCTCTTAAAGATCTTGCTTTCTGAAAACCTAACTTGAAAAAATACTGTCTTCAAAAACTCATTTTGACCAATAAGTTACTAATGTTAAATGAAACATAAAATTAAAAAAATGTGTTTTTTCTGTCTTACTACAACCAATTTAAAAAAATAGTATTGTAAATTTTTCTTTCAAAAAGTTACCAAAATAATTATTACATAAAGTGATTGTTTATCTAATTTTTTTTTTAACGATATTGGTTTTTTGTAATTGTTAATTTATTTTATTAGAGATTAATTGAAAAAGGTGCAGTTACTTGTGTTAAATGGGTACCTGGCAGTGAGTCTAAGTTTTTAGTTTCTTACAATAATCCAAATATTTATATGTATGATAAAAACCTTCCTAGTATAGACATAGAACCTCAACTTCAAATGATTAAAAAAGGTAGTGGCTATGTTGTTAACATTATGAAAAATAAGCCTGAGTGCAATCCTCTATGTCGTTGGAGTGTAGGCCAAGGAGGTATTAACGAAATTTGTTTTTCACCAGACTGTAAACATTTAGCTGTAGTTAGTCAAGATGGATATCTGCGAGTATTTGATTTTGAAAAACAAGAACTGATTAGCAGTATGCGTAGTTATTTTGGTGGTGTGTTATGTGTTTGTTGGAGTCCTGATGGTCGTTATATTGTTACAGGTGGAGAGGATGATTTAATTACTGTTTGGTCTTGTCATGAACAACAAGTTATTGCACGAGGTGAAGGTCACAGATCTTGGGTTAATGTGGTATCGTTTGATGCATATACTACTCAAGTCAAAGACCAAATGTCTTTAAATAGTGATGATGAAGATTATCCTAAAAACTCATGTAATCATATAAACAATGTCCGAAAAAATGAAACTATTGTATCATATCGAGTCGGATCAGTTGGAGATGATACTCAACTTTTGTTGTGGGATATCAGTGAAGATATTTTAAAGCCAGAACGAATAAGGACGCGTAGTAATCGTGGTAGTACATTAGCAACTATACAGCCAGTTTTATCATACTCTAGTCAAACTATGAAAGTAGGTAACCATACAAAAAACTTTAAAAATCCACTTGTTGATTCACAAACGACCAATAAATATACTACTTATAAAAGACATAATTCTCAGCCCGATCCTCCAAAATTGACTATCGATAGAGACGATTTAATTCTTGGATCAAAAATATGTCCTCGCATGAATGAATGTAAAAAAATTGAACCACTTTTAGCAAAAAAGATTGCTTACGATCGTTTGAGTGCGTTAGTTTTTCGCGAAGATTGCATAGTTACTGGAACTTATGATGGTTATGTTCATGTATGGGCCCGACCAAATGGAGCGGTATGTAATGTTTGTCTTTTAAACTAGTTAAATTGATTTTTTTGTTTGTTTGTTTGTTCTATGAATAACTATCTATCTATTTATTTCAGGCTCATTTTAGCAAAAGGGTTTACATCTAAAATGTTATTTGGAATAAATAAGAATAAATTTCTTTAGAGAACAAAAAAATTTAAAAAACTTAAAAAATTATTTTTTAGGATGCCCTTGATGTTGGTACGTTGATTCAATGAAATTGCGATTAGTATAGATATTTTTTTATGCCTTAATGAGTTTCCGATCAATAGAAATTCACAGCTGAAAATATACTACAATTTTACTTATCGATGTTTTTTACCGAGTTTTTGGTAACAAAGTACGTTACCATTAATACGATATATACGCTACGATCACAAAATTAATGCTCATCTAAACCTGTGTATTTTATAACTCATTATCTAATGAGCTTTAAGAATAAAAAATGTATGCATACTGCGTACAGTGATGTTTGCTTTAGACTAAAGTTTCACTGGAGCGGTAACTAGAAATATTTTTCTACGCTTTTTTTTTTTTTTTTTTTTTGCACTTTTTTTTTACATTTGATCTAGTGCAGATTTTATAACTTTATCTTTTGACAGATATTTATATTTGCAACTCTAAAATATATTTTTTTGTATAAATATTGTTGTGCAAATTATACAATAATTTTTTTTTTAACTTTTGATTTATATTACTTATGTGAACGTTATTTCCATCAATTTTCGATTCGAATCTATTTAAAACGAATAATATCGGATAAAATAAACTATCGGTGCGATGCTTTCATCGTACAGCGATGATAAAATAATAACAATATAAGGTTTTGTTATTATCGTTGTATATTATTAGCTAAACCAGTCTTTTTATTGTTGTTGTTTATTATTAAGTAATCCTTATATTAAAACTACTTTGTTTCACTTTCAATAAAAATCTGTTTCATTAACAACAACAACAAAATTAAAAAAATACGTATATGAAAATTAACTTACGTAATAGTATTAACTATTAGATATTATTTTGTCCGATGTTTACATCAAAATAATCATATAAACTTTCGTTGAGACCAATTCAATTTTATCGACATATAAAATTATTATAAAAAAAGCTATACTATTTCATTTTAACTTTTTTGGAATTTTAATTTGGGAATGCAAAAAGAGTATTTTTGGTTTTCTTTGATGGCAACCCAAAGACGAACCTCTATCTTTTTCACCGAATACTATAACGATGTGAGGTATGGCGTTGTGATAATGATGTAATTATGATGATGTGAGGTGTGACAAGCTAATACATTACAAAAGCAAGCTGACTGTCAATGAAAATTTTACAACCAAAATTGCTGTCAATGTTATACAAATATTTGGCTGCAATATATGTATGTATATATATATATATATATATATATATATATATATATATATATATATATATATATATATATATATATATATATATATATATATATATATATATATATTGTTATTATCGGTTTCTTTTTTTTAAATCGCTAATATGGAAACAGTTTGCACGGGTTATTATGAGTGCTGTTCTCTTTTTTTTCAAAATAGCTAGAAATATATATATATATATATATATTTCTAGCTATTTTGCTATATATATATATATATATATATATATATATATATATATATATATATATATATATATATATATATATATATATATATATATATATATATATATATATATATATATATATATATACAAAACCGTAATCTCAAATATATAACCATAACATATTTATATTAAAGTATAATAGTTATATATATACATTCTACAATAGTTATATCTGTTTTGTATTTATATAAATGTTTTTATAAAATTTTATTCACCATGGTGACTAAGGTTAGATTGGTGCCAACATTACATGTCTTAGTAAGAAATTAACTTAGTAATCTTAGTCTTTGGTTTAAAAAATCTTAATTTTTTTTTTATAGAACATTTTATGTGCAAAGCTTTTTTAAGCCCAATCTCTGCTGCTCTCAATTTTATTCCTTTTGACCAAGAATGTTATACTTTGCTCTTCCTTTTATAAATTATAAAAATCGTAAAAAGTTTTACACTTTTTAAAACAGTTTATAAAGTTGTGAATATCTTTTGTTTAATTTTTTATTTACAAACACAATTTTATCACAGGCGACAACCTTTTAATAAAAGCCTGATGATGCTTATGTTAAAAATTATTTTTTTGTTTCTTACATAAAAAAAGTCGTGAAAATTCTTTCTGGAGACTCGCGACAAGTTTCAGGTACTGAGGTTTTTACGCGCATATTTTTTATGCGCAACCGAAGGAAAATTATTTGTATGTATGATATTCATATTTTCAAAACTTAATGTTTACAGGTCCTGATAGAGGGGAATAACTTAAGGGCCCTGTACAGTAATTTTAGCTGCTTCTTTTAGTATTCAAAATAAATAACTTTTAACAGAGCAAGCTTTAATAAGTTTATTCTTGTATCAAATAAAAATACTTTGCAAAAAGTTGTAATCATTGAACTTTGGAACAAAAAAAAATTGTAACCAGCCATAATCGTGAGGGTAAAAAGTTTATACTAAGGTTCGGAACTTATGCGCATATCGGCGAATATATTTATTAATCACTCACTGTATATAATAAAAGGTAAATTATTATAAAGTTACTTTTTTGAAAATAAATAAGTTTATCTTGAAATATTTACTTTAAGAATATCTTTGAAGATTTTCCTTTGCTCCAACGAAGTTTTCAACGTTCCAGAACTCAATTGCATAGCTTAACCTTTGAAGATCTTTTTTAGAAATTATAATTTTTTAACACAATTTTTACATTTTTGTTTTGTTTTGTATTAAGTTCTCAAGATGTAGAACATTTCGATTGCATAAACCTATGACATTTAGAAAAGGGTGCTTACCGGTTTGGTTTTTAAATTGCGAATTTACAATACCAAAGGTTATTTTATTGCTTAATATGCGAATAAATAAGTTTAACTTGTTTTGCTGTGCAATTGTTGATCTCGGATATAAAACAAAAAATAAATATAACTTTTGCTGTGTTTGGAAACATTGAAAATTGACTTAAGTGCATTCCTTCCTATTATATCAAGCTTTTGCATTAATACGTCTTTATAATCGCAAATGCAAGACCATACGTAAGTACCGAAACCGACAATGTTTTATATAACTGGGCGATAGAGCTTGGATGAGTAAAGCGGGTTCCATACTGAATAAGAGTTTGGATTATTGCCCTGAATTTTGATATTCTATTATCAATATTTGAACGATTAAGTGAAGCAAAAAAAGAGCTTTAGATCTCAAATAAACCCTAAATGATTAAGTTTATCATCCAGTTTTATTTGTTGGTGATTGATTGTTATCTTGCAAGTTGCAATTTGTTTTTTTCCGGCTCAGTCTTATTAGCATTCAACTTTTTTTTTTTTTTAACAATTTGTGTTAGTGTATATGTTAATATATTCGCATATCATTCAAAAGTTATGCGAATAATATACATATGATGCGCATATAAGTTTAACAGATGAATGGTATGTGAAATTAATTAAATGTTGTAATGTTTGAATATAGAAGAAAATGTTTTTTTAATCAAACGCAGGTGACTTTAAATAAAAAAAAAAATTTCACTTGATTTTCTGTAATTAATTTTGATAGTAAATATATTAAATTATTGTCATGATTTTAAACAAGTTTCTATAACACAAAACTTAAGAATTTAATCTATTTTTGTATTACATTTGCTTATTTATATTTTCTTTGCTCAGAACTGCTCCTTCTAATATGTAGTCATTTTTGACGCTTGTATCCATTAAAACACTATTGGTATATATGAAAACTAATTTTTTTTACGCGTTCGTTTGTCAAGCAATTTTCAATCGTGAATGAATAAATCGAAAAATCTACCAAGTTCTCTCTGCTGTTGCTGACGAACAAATCATTTCAAAAAAAGATTTTGCAACTTCAAAGACTTGGATATTTCTGATGACCAACAATGTTTCAATAATTCTTTGCGCTCATTCAGAACATTGTCTCTTTTTTTGTCAGTGTTGTCATTTCTCGAACAAGTTCAATCATTTCACTTTCAACTATCTCAGCAATTGTTGAATGTATTTTGGAGGCTAGTTCTGAAATTGAGCTGATTATATCAGTCTTATTCTAAAAAAAAATATAATCCTTCTGCTGCATACTTCGGTGTCAGCATATAGGCAATCCCCATATTTGAGGTGATAAGGAATTTAAATTGCTTCATAACCATTTGCTAAATAACTTCCTCATTTGCGGATTTCTTGTACATTTCACCAAAATAACAGTGCACCAAAGATAATGGGGTATGATTATTTTCAAGTCTTCAAATGACATTAGAAGGATGTTCAATATCTTTCAAGCTTCAGATTCAACGAGACAAAGAGATATTCCAGTTTGAAAAAGGAAATTTGCTAATTTCATATCAATTTCTTTTTTTGAAACAATCGTTTCTCATCTTCCTTAGCATTTGGACATAATGTTCGTTTATAGGCTGCGACACGACTTTTTGCCCATTAGACTGTCTTTTGGCAGGCAATGCAAATTCCAGTTCTTTTTACTATATTAAAATTTTGCAAATATCTATTTATTGTAAAGTTTTCCTTTGTCTTTCTGTTTAAGGAAAAACGACTAACTAACGTATAAACTTTTCAGTTTTTTATTTTTTTACTCTTTAATGAAAGAGAATAATTAACTAATTAATTAAAGTATATATATATATATATATATATATATATATATATATATATATATATATATATATATATATATATATATATATATATATATATATATATATATATATATATATATATATATATATATATATATATATATATATATATATATATATATATATATATATAAAATGTATATTAAATAGTGGAATTAAAAGTTCGTAACTTTTAATTCCAATATTAAAACTGATGATTTTTTTGTTCCAAAAGCACTTTAATTAAAAATTTTATAAAAACTAGAATTAAAATGCCTTTTTTTGTCTTTCTGTCTAGTCAAAACAATTTAACGGTTTTTAATGATTTGAAAAAAGGTTATGCACATAAGTATGTGTATAATTGTGTGAAAGTATGCGCACAATTTATCGGCGAATATCTGCGCCTACAAATTTTTTTCGAACCCTAGTTTATACTATTGCTATATCTATAGGGTCATCCATAAAGTACGTACTCTTTTTTTTCGTCTAACCTTTACCCCCTTCCCCCGCATTTTGCAATACACTTTTTTGAGCATCCTCCTTCTCACTAAAAGTACCTTAGCTTTTAAGCTATTTACCTAACATTTTGTAATATATATTTTTTAATTTAGTCTCCTTTCCTTTATAATTCCCTCCCATCTCATACACGGCATTTTCAGACCCCCTCTTCCCCTCCGAGCGTACGTACTTTATGGATGATCCCAAACTAAATATA